TTATGAAACTGGGCATTAGTTCTCTCTCTCCAGTGATATAAAAATGATCGCTGTTGCTCAATGCATACCTACCCCAGAAATGAGCAAAAACGGCATAGAGAACATGACATGTTGGCCATTTCTTGTACCTAAACGCATGATATTCTAATTTTGCTTTTTCTGTAAAAACTACCAAAATTGTTTAACAAGTTTGCAAAACTGCCAACATTTCCTAATCAATGCTTCATTTCCCCAAAGCGCCATTTAGCTTAGAAAGCGCTGTAGCTCAATTCGTTCCCGAGAAATGATCGAAAACGTAACGGATAACTCGAAACATTTTCTTAGACTATTCTAGCACCTAAATGTGTGATTTTCAAATTTCGATTTTTGTGCCAAAATCACCAAAATTTCCTCAGGTACATGTTTATTACTGAATCGAGAATGCAATTCTCTATCCAATGGTATAAAAACAAGCTCTGTGACTCTACTCAGTCCAAGTAACGACATTTTTTGGTCCCATGTTAGTCCATGGACTAACAAGTTAGACGTCCAACTGACGTAAAAGCTTTATGACGTGTATTTACGAGTCATAAAGACGTCTAAATGACTAGTAATAAAGACGCCTAAATGACAAATGCAAAAATGTAAATTAGACGTGGATAAGGTGGATCTTTATATAGAGATAGATGCCCTAATATACACATATTTTATGTGTCCCATAAATGATGAATGCGTATACAAAAAACCCAGTGAAATGGGTCAGCATAGAGAAAATAAAGCAATAGTTTACTTCTTTTACTTCTCTATGATGGTCACTTAGTGGTAAGATATGACACAACACGTCCGAATTTTTGGCGTTTTAGGCGTTCGAAATATGACGTCTTTATGTCGTCAGATATACATCCAATGACGTCCAAGACCAAAAATGGACAATGGTTATTGAGAAACGTCAAAAAAAGCATCGCCATCTTTAATTTGGTTTCCGAGAAATGAGCATAAACGAAACGGGAAACGTGAAATTTTGGCCTAATCTTGCACCTAAATGATGATATTTAAACTTCGCCTGTTGGTTCAAAACTACTAACACTTTCCCAGACAAGGTGTCAAAACTCGAATCAATCGAAAAAATCGAATTTCAATCTCCATCCAATGATATGAAAACTAACTCTGTGGATCAAATGATTCTTGAAAAACGTAAAAAAACAGCAACGGATTTTAGTCGATTTTGTAGCTCAAACAAAAGTAGCCAAAATTAGAACTTCTTGAATGTAAGAATATGTTAGTAGAAGAAGACTAAACTCCTTACATTTCTCAATAAATGCCTCACTTCCCAAAAGCTCCCTTTAATTCCCTCTCCAGCGATGTAAAAATTAGCGCTCTAGCTCAATTTGTTACCGATAAATTAGCAGAAACGGGGCGGAAAAAATGAAATTTTGGCCTAATCTAGCACCTAAAAGTCTGTTAATGAAATTTCGCTGTTTGGATCAAAACTGGCAAAATTTCTCCACGCACGTTGTCATAACTGAATCAAGTTCTCTATTTTGGTTCTAGAGAAATATTTCATTTCCACAGAAAGGCTGTTTTTTTACAATTTATTATCCTGTTAGATTTTTGCCAAGGGAATTGGAAGATTGTATAGTAGCACACCCGCAAATCCGCGACGCTTGCATAATAGGAAACAACACCGTTTTAGTAGCTTGTGTTCAGAAGAAACCCGATAGTAAACTCACATCTGATAATATATTGATGTAAGTGGATGGGAGGCTGAAAAATACAGTACACTAATTTGTCCATGAATGGATGTTCCAGGTATTTATCCAAAGTTCTGCCCCAATATAACAACAAACTGTCGGAAATCGTATTTCTGGACGAATTTCCAAGAACAAGTGCAGGCAATATCAAGAAGCGTCTATTGAAAGAACAGTATTTGAAAATTAAAATCGAATACACTCGAAGTTTGGCCAGTATCAGTGCCAGTACTTTCGATGAAGTCAGTGCCTCCCAAGTGCAAATCAACCCCCCGCCAAAGTAATTTGTATAAAAAAAAATTGAAAAGTTTAAAAAAATTGTTTTGATTTGCTCTTACGCGCTCAATAATTGTTGTTGAAGAAATTTGAATTAAAATTAAGAAAAACAATACACGCCACCTACTTTATAAATTATGACGAAGAAATATCACTAATAATCAGGAAGCCGGACCGGAACAAATATGGACCCAGAACCGAAACGGAATCGTTTTTTTTTTCTGCACACTATCATGCACGTATCGTTTCCGGTACGTACTGTTTAGTTTGCGAAAAATATTATTTAACGGTTTTAAATACTAAAGAATTATATTTTAATTTTCAACATGATAGTGCACCTTCACACAACTCACGAGTTGTATGTGAAGATGCCAAAAAATACCTGGACGTAAACGAAAGTCAATTTGAACATTTAATTTAAACGATTCATTATTGTTTTGTGCTTTGTGTGATATTATAGTTCTTGTTTCCATAGCCTACTACACATTTTTTATCTTCTTTTGAAGTTTTACGGCAACAAAAGGAGAAAACATACAAACCATTATATCGTTAAATTAAGAAAAAAATTAGGATTTTAAAAGGCCCACAGCCAACTATGATTACCATTTAAAAAACCGTAAGTTTATTTTTTATCTCGTAAATCAAGTTGACTATGATAATGAGTAATGTACTAAGGGCAGTTTTAACTTTTTTCTAAGTTAAGCAGTTTGGGTAAAAAGTGACAATTAAAAAGTGTTTATTTCTTGCCTTTTCAGGATATTTCAGGAACCAAGTCGAGTACCTAAATTTTGAAAACCGTTATGAATAGGCAATCGAATTCTGCCCAATTTTTTAGCCAAACCTTTAAAAATGTAGAAGTTACCCATACAAAAATTGAGAAAATGGCCACCCTGTATAGATATTGAAGCAGGAATTAATCGAAGAATAAAACGAAACCGGGACTAAACCGAATTTAAAAATATTGTCTAAACCGGAACCTACATTTAAAATGTTGTGTTGTACATCCGGAACGGAACAGTTATTTCGATTCGGTCCGGGTCGATGCTTATAATAACACTGGGAAATACGAAAAATTATTAATTACAACAGTGGATAGTTTCAAACTTAATTTGTGCAAAATTGAATATTCTTATTTATGTAACTTTCAAATATGCAATGTTGGCGACTCATAAAATGGAATTTTAAATAGTTATTTAAGTTTAATTGTAAATAAATTAAAACAAGTTTGCGACATCAGTATATTTGATATGTTTCAGAAAGCCTCATTTATCCATGTCGGAAAAAATCGCCTTTAGTACTCGTCTACTTTTATATGTCGTCAACTACATGAAATGATCTACAGTAAAAATAGAACAGACAAATAGGATGTGATGTTGAGATAACTTGCCCTGTTTTGTGACGTCATTACGGTTAAACCAACGGGCCTATCAAGCGTCGGTTACTTTCAATGCTGACTGGCTAGTTTTGCTGTTCACCTAATTTTTTGAAATTTGACTTAAATTTTTTGAACCTGCAAAAATCACCGAGAGACAAAAATTATATATATTTTAATTTATAACATTTTACCTGCAGTTATTTCATGGAACACCTTCGCTTTCAGTGTTGCCAAATATCGGATATTACTTGAAATGTTTTGATTTAATTCACGCTCGTGTTAACGACCTCCAGCGACGGATGACGAAACAGATGCATTGCGGTACGTCAAAACATCTTTTAAAATGGACGATTTTATTTTTATTTTGATGGCATAGTCGTTAAGTTGTTTACCGATTTCGCAGCAGAAATGGCTGAAAGAAACGAAAAAATGTTGTGTGAACTCATGAAGTTGCCGGGAAATAGTGTCTGTGCTGATTGTGGATCAAGAAGTAAGTCGAAATTAAGTTGCATTTTAATATTTAAAGCATGCCACCCATGCTTGTTATTTGTAAATAACGTTTTTTGTAGTAAATATTGTGCTAGATATATTCCCGTGTAACGTAAGAATATTACGAGCCTCAGATTCGTTACCTTCGATGCAATTGCTTGTGGGCCATGTGTATTTTATTGTACTATTCGTACAGTTGATCCACATCTAGACATGATGATCAAATGTTTTCTAGACAAGGTTCATGCCTTATTAGAGCAAATATTTTGGGACATAAATGAATCAAATCCACTCAACATACAATACATTAGTACACAACCTTTCAATATCGTGTCGACTTACACATTTCGAGTCTAGCTTAATTAATGTTAAGAATTTCCCATAGAAATCTTTATTGCTGTTCGGTTAATTGCTGAATTGCACATTGTACACGCATTTAGTCAGATAGAGGATATTGCTCAATATTCTTACTGGAAGACCTTAAGCAAAAGCATTCACTACAAACAGTCAGTCACCAGTGGGCTAATACACCCTACAAATTACATGTAAGTGTTGCAGTTTGCCCTTTTAAACTCAGCAACTGTGTTAGAACTAACACGACACCATACATATATTTGGAAAACGGGATCTTCTAACTGTGCCTTATCCTCAAAGGGCGATGGCGATCACATTAGTCCATCTAACTTTATCTACTGCAGCCCGGAACAATCCTACGAAAGTCATATTGGCCCATTATCGCAAGTTTTTCAGCCAATAATTCCTTCTTCAACGCTGTCCTCTCTTTCCCTCTATTTTGCTTTTAACTATGAGTTATAGGATTCTGTATTACTTCGTTTCTCATTTTGCTTCCAAAGTAATTTGCTTTCCTCTATTTGACCGTTTTCATTATTTATTTGTTGTTTCTCCATACGGTGTAGGACCACGTTATTGATATAATGGCTTGTCCATTGCATCCTTCCGTAGTTTTCTTCCCGATTTCTCCAATATATCCCAAAATTTTGAGATTTTTGCTTCCAACAATATACATCCTAATAATTTGTAATATTAATAAGATATACTAATAATAGTTCTGCAGTAGTATACGACGGCTGTGAACAGGGAGTTTGCAGTTATTGAATGGAGGAAATAACTGTTAAATGTTCTTAAATACACGAAACAGAAGACTTAAATTTGGGCAAAAACTGCTTGTAGATAAGTTCTATATTGTTCGCCTCAAAATTTTTTTTAACAGCTTCTTGTTGCATTAGTATTAACAACAAACGTTTTCATTGGCATTTTCTGGGCATTATTTTTTTGACAATATTTAATTAAAAATGATAGTGATTCGCTGCAATGAAAATAGGCATATTATTCATAATTCTTCGCCAATTTTAGAAGAACGTTTTTCTCGCAGGAATCCTTCGCATAAACTAGTTTGTTAACCAATCAAAATTTTCCGATTTCTACTAGGGCTCTTATGACTGTCTTCTAACAAGTCCTCTAATGATTAAATTATCGTTTCTGCTGTGGGGTTTTTTGTACTTAAATCATGCTGATCACAGCAGAACCGATTATACGTCTTATTTTAAAAGAATAGCCGACATAAGTGGCCATATAATTGTACTTAATGTCTCAAGTCTTGTCTCGACCGTTGTACCTATCAGTTGTGTTTTGTTGTGCTCTGCTTTACACGTTTAGTTTTGTTTTATTTGTTGTGAAACTTTACGGTGGGTGTGTGGGGTCAAATTTTTTTTCTTGTTCTTTTCCTTTGAATTCTTATTCGTCTGGCAGATTGACTTTACAAAGGATGGCCACTTACAAGTGTCATAATTGCCTCAAAGAATTTGCGGATAGAGACAAGTATAACAAGGCCGGATGCAACGGTGGCAGCACGCAAGTGACTACAAAGACCCTGCTATTGGAGAAGTAGAACCACCTCTGATTTTTTTGTGCGCTCTGCGATTCTCCAGACGTTAGGTACCTCAGCAATAAAGTAACAAACTTGATTTTGATGGAAAAATCAGGTGCCTCAAAGTATCATGCAAAGTTGTTGACTGCAAACAGCAGATAGAACGAGTCCCGACAACGTATACGTCGTGCTTTACTGAATCGGTTTCTCGTCTCATCATCCATGCAAACAGAGTTGCCTCCTGAAATGTCATCATCTCTAGGAAATCCAGAGTCCCCAGCCTGTGGCAACACCCGAAGATGGCACTATGTAATCGTAGAACATCTCCCGGTTACATTTACTACCACCAGGGCATGAAATCGTCGGATTTTGTCCAATGCTTTTGCTTATTCAACCAGGGCAATGACTCGGAGGAACCCATATTAAAAGTCCTTAACTAGAGAGACCTAGAGAGGAACCTTAACTAGAGAGTCCGCTGAGAGATTGTTGGGGGGACAGGATGTGGACGCGCGTAGAACGGGTTGAGTGGTTATCGGAGTTTGCTGTCTCTCGGAGGGTTGTAGAGAACCGTCCGAGGTTAAGCAAAAGTAAACGTCGGTCGGGGTTTCAACAGACTATTGGCTGCCTCCCCCGCTGAGAATGGTGATAACGATAACATCTGATAAGTAGCTTATTGCTGCTTGCAAGAGCAAAAGCTTTAACAATGTGAAACTGCCTGAAGAGATGCCTTTTCTGGACCCATTGACTCCTCATCTGAAAGACGTTTTGCAGAGTTTGTAGAACGACTTCCACAATGCCTATGAGATTAATTGCGCAGAGGTGGAGGCAGATCTCAGCACCTACACATCCTATCTTGTTTCGGAGAGGACGGTTCAGCTTCAGATGTACAATGAAAGTCGCCACAACTATTTCTCCAGTGGCTCTCCCAAGAAGGGAAAATCTCCGACGACACTAACCTCATCTATTGAAACCCAATTATTACTGTACGTGCTATGTTTTGTATTGTTTTTTTACGAATGTTGACGATGTGGTAGTATTTTGTTTTTTGACTCACTTTGTCCATAAAATGTGTAAATTTTTCTGTGGCAATAAAGCATATTTTGATTTAATATTTAGTTTCATATACTAATGATTATCAAAAAATTTAAAAGCTTAAATAAATGGTTCAATAACAATATTTCAGATCCCGAGTATGCTTCGTACAATATAGGAATTTTTATTTGTGCTCGTTGCTCTGGAGTGCATCGGCAAATGGGAGTACACATAAGTAAAGTCAAGCATTTAAAGTTGGATCGCTGGGAAGACTCCCAAGTGGAACGGATGAGGGAAGTGGGAAACGTTAGAGCCAAAATGAAATTTGAAGAAAGAGTGCCTCCGTGTTATAGGATACCAAAAGAAGATGATCCTCAGTAAGTACCTAGCTTGAGCTCGTTGCAATCGATTTATCAATATGTTTAGTCTCACTAGTGCGCCTACATAAATCTAGCTCGCGTAAATAAAAAACCGGAAATGAGAATTGCCTAACTGCAGGGAAAAATTATGGTTAGTTTCCAACGTTTTCAAATCGCCGATTAAAGGAACTCAGGAAATGTATATTAAAATGTCTTGAAACCGAAACTGCATTATGTAGAAAGAAGTAACAAGATTGTCCTTAGCCTTAGCTAATAAAATTATGTTTTCATGGTTTGAAAAATTTATCATACATAAAGTATTTCAGACTTTATTTTAATTAAATGAACAAGACCACTTGACAACTTTGTCAGTATTGCTAAAATGATCAGGATTTTCTCTTTATGCTAGTCATATTCTAAAACAGTATTGGGAATGACTGCTATTTTTTGCTTTCCTTTATTAATATCACGCAGGTATTAAATAACAATGTTGCTAGAACTTTGCACTTGTTTTTGTTTGCTAGACTAATAAACAGCACGTTTATCAACTGTATCTATTTCAGCAATAGTATTGCAACATGTGTGCGTTTTGACGTCACCTAGATTATACAGGGCATTGTTTTCTGTAATCGATTTCAATGTTGCAGCAATATTAAACAACTACCTGATTTTAATTATCAATAAATGCTTATCTTTGATTAACCATGGTAGTGATTTCGCAGCATGATTAAATTTAATTTTACAATGCTACAATTTTGTCAAACCAGTAAGGTACAGGGCGTTTTCTCATAAGTTGACAGCCCCATAGATCGTTTATTTAAAAAAATAGTGAAACTGACCAACACAAAAGTTTCTTCAATCTGAATTTAAAATAAAAATATGAAACACGGTCTTTTATTAATAGTAGTTTTATATATTTTCAGACAGGTCAATTGGATTTCTTCCTGAATTCAGGGTGATTCACAACTTTATGGATACAAAGTTTAAATAAAATATTGGTTTTTCGCATTTTTCAAATCACCCACTAAGCACCCATTAAAGTTGGTTTGAACAAAAAAGTAAACGCCGGCGCCCCGCGAACCAAATGCAAGGCGATATCAAACTCGGCTGGCGCGTCGTTTTGGCGCGCTAAATAGAAATTCAAATTTAAATTGCTTATAACTTACTTGAAAGTAATGTAACATAAAAAAATATATTTTAGAACAGTTAGAGATCATAAATCAACAAAATAAGCAAACAAAAAAAATGTGCAAAGTCCCTATTCTCTAGAAGCTGGTTTAGGTTAGACCTGTTCCTTCCTCGTATTTTCGACGTTCGTGTTTTTGTCTTTATGAACTTTGTGATTTCTTTACAAGAGTGCATATTTTTCTCGGTTTTCAGATGTTTCAAATTATATTTGTTGCTCATTTAGTTTACGATATTCTAGGCACGGAGTCTATTAAAATTTGTAATTGCTTTTTTTTAAGATGGATGAATTTTTTGTAATCCTAAATTATATAATTTCGTTTTTTGTAGAGTTTTAGTGGAGCAATGGATTCGAGCAAAGTACCAAAGGGGCGAGTTCTGTTACCCAGAGCGTCAATTATACGTGAGCGGTGATTTTTCCGGATTTTTAATGAAAAGAGGCAAAGAGGACAGTCGGTAACTATTACAATATGTGGCATACATTATTAACGTTCACTGTGATTTTATTTGTGTAGGTTTCGTTCAAGAAAATTTGTGTTGTCGGAAAGTGATGATACTTTGAAATACTACATAGTGGAGAATAGGGAACCTAAAGCGGTGCTGAGAGTATCTGAACTGAATGTCATTTTTGCGCCTCAAAAAATGAGTTTATATCCAAACTCGTTACAGGTTGGTATTAACTTTTGAACTAGAAGTACGATGGGAAATTATGTACGTTTTACTGTGATATTTTATCGTATTTTTTAAAGAGCAGTGATTGATCGTACTGATAAGTAAAAAATGTTAAGTACTAATAATAATAACAATTTGTTGTTATAATAAAATGAAAAGAAATATCCTCAAATAGTCTCCATGTCGATCTGTTCAGATAATTGTGTATATGGTGCAAAAGGAACAGAGCTTTTTAATTTTTTTTTTTTTTTGATTGACAAGTTATTTCAAATGTCGTGATCCATAATGGCAACTTTTTGAATAGTTTTACACATGTTTGGAAGCACTTATGTGCTTTAGATAATACATGTTTTCTATTCTAGTTATACAGGTTGAGTTTTTTCCGATGACTAGTGCAGAGATATTGGAAACTACAGCAGATACGATAAAGATTGAATGGAAAAATAATTTCAGTTTTGATGTTCTACTCGAAACTAATTTTCTTTTTTCAAAATAATTGAAAGATGTGGTAATTATTTGTTGTTATTGAAACACTGCCTTATATTATTTTTCACGGCTAACTTCGATCAACTAAATTGAGAAAGTAAAAAATCATTCATTTTGGAAAAAAACCTAAAGATGTGATTAATTAACGAAATCGTAATAAAATGCTCTATTTGATAAAGACATAATAAAATATGGTTTTGAGACGTAACAGAAGTTACAGTTAATTTGTAGAAATGTCATGCCATTTGCTTTGGTTTCCTAAAACTTGTCTAATTAAAAAGCTGCCATAAATGAGTTTTATTCACATATCTCTTGACAGCTGTAAGATTTTAGAAAAATAAAAATAGTTTCGCGTAGAGCATTCTAAACTACAATTCTTTGTCCATTTAATCTTCGTTGTATCTGCTGTAGTTTTCAAGATCCCTGTACTAGTCATCGAAAAACACTTAGCATTCCCAGCGCTACTATTATACGAGCAAACCATACAGAGTGTCTCCAACTAGTACTCAAGCAATTAGTGCTCGTTTTCAACGGTAATATCTGGCTTAAATTAAAATAATACCCTGTATTTTATGCCAAGAGAATGTACAAAAATTGCGTTAAATAAGGTATAATATTTAAAATTAAAGTCCAAATGAAATGAGATACTTATAATTTTAACAAACACTCAGCAATAGTATAATTGATTCATATATTACAACGGCAATACGTAACTTATGTGTTCAAAAAATAAGTGTTGATGTCGGTCTACCGTCTGACTCCACAAATAAATGCATTCTTTTTTTAAACGCCTCGGCAACATTTGACAACATAGCCGTGTTTATATTTTGGAAAGCTTCTGTGATCCTCTCTTTCATATTGTCTGGTGTTCTTCGGTCTGTGTAAGAGACTACTCCTTTTGCATATTCCCATAAGAATATCCCGGAGGATTCAAATCTGGTAATCGCGGAGGCCAGTTTCGCAAATTTGGGTTGAATCTAGTAATTGGACCACCCTGTACTTTAATAATTAAAATGTTTTTAACGAAAATAACTTTAAAATGTACCCCCGGAGGTTCTCCGTTTATTTATAAACTGATATTTTATAAAAGTTAAATAGTTTAGCCGCAATCTCCAGTGTCGTATAATCTGATTAACTGTAGAATTTAGTTTTGTTATTAATTCCATAATTGAAATGGATATGAATTCCCACAAATTTGGAACAATAAGACATAGCAACTCACACACAGCAACAAAGTTTTTGATCAAATCATTTCTATTCAACCAATTAGTTACAAGAAGTAAGAAGCATTTTGGTGACCGATTGTAATTGATCTGCCACTCAATTTATATTATTGATATTTGATCGGAATTTCGATTTTTGGTATTTTTTACTAGGCTGACCAATTGCAAACTGTAGTTCAGATAAGATTTTTTATGAACGATTTTCGGCTCTGATGCGTTACATCTCACTCGTACGTAAGTTGCAGTTTTTGAAGTGAGAACGTCTTTACCCGCCATTAGCACTTTTTTGTGACGTTTGAATAAGACTGAGCCGTCACGCTCGGCTATGTATCGCTCCTTCGGGTAAAGTCGGCTCTAGTCTACTAAGTGAGAGATGATCAGTCGGCAGAGCGAGACAGTAGAGAGAGAGTTTGTGTGTATTGAATGAAGTGACTGAAAGAATGAAAGCCCTTACGTTCGTTTCTGTAACGCTCAGGCGAGTAAAGTCAACCCGTTGACAGAAAATTTATTTTTAAATTTAAAAAAACTAAATTTATGTAGTATCTGTACTGATCTGCCTTAGGAAGTTTTTGGTAATATTGACCATTTATTCACTGTTTTTTACAGATTAGTTATCTCAAGGATGGTACCACTCGACATATTTACGTATACCATTCCGAAGGTGAAGTAATAACCAATTGGTATATGGCAATTAGATGTGCCAAACTACACAGGCTTCAGGTAAAAAGCAATAAATAATAGTGAAGCGGTTGGTTCGAACATTGCTTAAAAACTGGGGGTTTCTAGACTGTTCGCGAAAGAACTGATGATGAAATTTTAGTACCGTCGTTCGGGGTGAAGATTTTTCCAGTTTTTCCTTAATAAAAAGAAAATTTCTATTAAAATAATTTAGAGTCTTCCGTGTCCCCTTCGTCGAATTCCATAATAAACCAAATAAACTTTTTATTTCCCCTAATCTATTTTTAGATTAGAGTGTCCGCCTTCACTCCTATGTATGGTTTAAAGGAGGACGACCCTTTATTAAGCGTTAAAAATAACTATAATAAATATAAAAACTATTAATTTTTTTTTGTTTTTGTGAAATTAGGCACTGTCCGCCATGTTTCTTCGTTTTATTACTTTTTTCTTATCGTATAAGGTGGATTTTGAAATTTTATAATTTTCAGCAGCTTGGTACGACCGGTACCAAGTGTTGATGAATACGTTCAAATTTTTCATGTCAGTCTAAAGAATCTCAACGGCTTACAAGCCGTTGAAACTTACAACTTTTATTTCATTTTCTTAAAGTTCCCTGCAACGGTGCTGCCGATAATATTTATCGTTTTTTCCTTTGAATTTGATGATTAAAAAAGCTTGGATTGGGAAGTTTTTTTTTTTTTTTTTATTATCTCCCAGTATTTTTACAATCTACCCGAAGGTATTCAGTAATCTAGTTTGGCATACAATACAACATGTAGGGTATTGGCCATCCARATCCCCTATTTTAAATCAATTAATTAATTAATTGTTTATGACTACTGGGTAAACTGGGTGGATTGGGAAGTTAAAGGTCTTATTATCCATGAAAGTACATTTTTCACACTTAAAGCGACGCATTTTCTCTTTCTAGTGATATTAGCCTAATTGTGGGATTTTTGGCTTTTTCTTGTCAAATTTTTGAAGAATTCGTGTTTTCCAACGGCCAATAGCCTCGCCTTAGTAACTGAAAAAATCATGGAAACTCCCAGAAATTTTCTATTAAAATGCGTTTTTCCCACTTAAAGCAGCACATTTTCTCTTTCTAGTGATTTTATGAGACGGATTATGGGAGTCTTGGCTTTTCCGTGTCAAATTTTTGAAAAATGTGTGCTTTCTAACGATCGGTCGCCTCGCCTTAGTAAGAAAAATCCTGAAAACTCGCAGAAATTTCCTATTAGAGTCCGTTTTCTACACTAAAGCAGCGCATTTTCTCTTTCGAGTGAATTATGTGCCGGATTGTGGGACTTTTGTTTTTTTCTTGTCACATTATTTCAAAATTCGTGTTTTCCAACGGCCAATCGCCTCTTCTTAAAAAATCCTGAAAACTCCCAGAAATGTCCTATTAAAGTGCGTTTTTTCCACACTTAGAGTAGCGCATTTTCTCTGTCGAGTCATATTATGAGCCGGATTGTGGGGCTTTTGGCTTTTCCTTGTCAATTTTTTTTTAAATTCGTATTTTCTAACGGTCAATCACCTCGCCTTAGTAACTGAAAAAATCCTGCGAACTCCCAGTTGTTAGAAACTCTATAACTAAAGTGATTAAATTATTTGTTTACATTTACGCCATAATATATCTAGAAAGAAGTTATTTAATTTTGGACGTTCTTCATAAATAGCATCGTTGCACTGCAAAATTGCAACAATTTTGTTTTTTTTGCTAGGTTGCATATCCCTCAGCTAGCGAGTCTGAACTTGTACAATTTCTAACAGAAGATTTTGCGAAAGAGGGCTGGTTGTGGAAAACTGGACCCAAAGTATCTGATGGGTTCAAAAAGAGATGGTTTGCATTAGACAACCGAAAGTTGATGTATCATGACGAGCCTATGGATGCGAACCCTAAAGGAGAAATTTTCATTGGTAGGTTTACAAAACTGGATATAAATACGGTGACCAGAGACATATTTTCAGTATTGCATTTGCATATTGTAGCAATATGTATTGCATTATTTTATTTGAAATTCCAAGGCTATGCGAAATATCGCATTATTTTATTAGAAAGTACCAGAAAAATAAACCCATTTATTCTGTGTAGGTCATATGGCTGACGGATATTGCATGAACATGGGCGTTTCTACTGGTGTAAGAGATCAAGGATTTTCGTTTAAATTGACAACGCCCGATAGAATCTATAATCTATCGGCTCAGTCTGAAATTGACCGAGATCACTGGATAGAAGTTTTGGAACGGGTGATTGAGCGACCTCTTACGGCGCAAGATATTGCAGGTAAGAACCATTTTGTTCCGACTTAATTGTCGTAATGAAGGTGAGTTAAAATTCGCCTCATTCCGCGAAGAGTGTTGTCTGGGGGGTTTTTAAAAGTAGAAAACAATAATCCCAAAGAAAATTGTGAGTAGAAACCTAGAAATTTGGCAAAATCTAAACGACAAACTTACAAACCACGTTTTTCTCATAAACATTACGTTGATACCTGCGGATTTATGGATAAATCAATAAAAACATAACGGTAAAATATACGACAAACGAAAATATATTATATGCCTAGGCCGACAAGTGAGCTATTATATACCGAAAAGCTTTAATGTGCGAGGTTTTAATAGCCTTCTTGCCCTAAGTAAGCCGACGAAGTATGAAGTTTTTGATGCAAAGTTGTTCTTCGTTAGATGAAATCTCCGACGATTCTTTCATAGAATGAGCATCCGCAGCATCCCGCGCAGTCCGCTTTTGCGGTGATATTATGAATTTACCGATAAAAGATCGGCTCTGCTTTTAGTTAGCTCGTGAAGTCGTTTTAAAAATTGGCGCTGAAACGCCGTCAAAGAAGAGTTACCTAGAAAGATAAGATATTGTATAAATAAATCGCATATTAACGGTGAATCCGTTATTAACGTTGGGAACATCAACCAATTGATGCCGAAACCGCTTTTAGAGACATTAAAAATGTAATCCAATAATAACTTTGTTTATTATTATTATTATTATTTCAACAACACATCATATATACAAGCTTGATTTTTTTTCACCAAGTAGGGACTGACAGTAAAATTCATTAAAAATATCTATTGTCAAAAGAACAGAAAGGCCTCGATTTGTGATTTTTTTCCTGGTGATTGATTAATGGCAACAAAACATTTTGCACAAAATTTCTCGAATATACCTGAAAAAAAATAATAGTTTTTTTCGCAAAAACTGTGAATGCTACAAGATTTTACAAAGAGCACAAAATTGTGAATAAAT